TTTTAACATGCCCGAGTTATTTGTTAAAATTAGATGTTAAAATATAGTCGATTGTACCATTCATCACAGTCGACTATACCATTTATCACAGTATAATACTACATACCAAATGCTCACGACCGACAAATCTAACTTTAAATTAGTCCAGATTCATTTAACCATGCAACCATAATTGAACCACAAAATATCAACTAAAAATTTCCATGAAACTTTCCAAATTTCAATTATTCTTCCATAGGGTTTCCATCTCCATACATAACCCCTCCTTAATGAAACAAAACCAAAAGTTCAACACAGAATTTTGTGTTTCTTCATTGTATGATCCTATATATTAATGTCGATATATATATCGGGAGAGAGACAGAGATAGAGAGAAACAGAGAGATCTAGAGAGAGAAATGTAAAGGTTTTAAGAAATACTATGTTTCCCAGGATTATCAGCAACTTTGAGAGTCTTGTCGATGAGCTTTCTGGCTTTTTTGCTGCGGATTTCAACCTTGACACTTGCACTCTTGTCCATTTTTACATAAGGCTTCTTCGATTTCTTTAAGGATCTGACCTTAGACTTTATTGACTGCACCAAATTCTCCAACTGAATAGCCATGTTTCGCCTGAAAAACTGGGTTCTTGAATCTGTATGTAAAGTGACTGTTTTTCTTGGGACTCAAGTATATGTATTAAGAAATTTATGTAGGTAAGGTAGGTGGGTAGGGGTGAGATTGCTGAAATCTGATGTTTTGTGGAGTTGTTGATTTAGATGATTTCAAGGAAGAGAGAGTTCACTCAATTAAAGAGCGAGAATGGTACCTCTTTAAGGTTGATATGGGCAATTTTGGCTTTTGAAGAATTTTCCAACAAAGCCACTGAATGTTACTTCATGTATGGAGGGTATTTCTGTACTTTTAAAGTGAACAACATTACAAGAATGTTTAATCCCTGGACCGTGCTAATTGTAGAATCAAGGATGACAACCACTTACATGAATGCTCATGATAAATAAAAAAATCATGGGCTCCGCTTTCATGTGAGTGGCTGTTAACCTCAATTGTACAACTAACAAAATTCTTAACCTCCTATGGCAATCCAATATCGACTAGTTTGTTGTATATTACGTTCTCAACAGATAATAACAAATAAGATTTAAATTATTTATTTGTTATGTATCGTCAAGTTTCTTGAATTTTTTCATTAACGTATATTTGGTACGTTTAACATCATCACACAATATAGATAACAAGTTTGTTAGACAAATTTAAGACCTTAAAATCACAATCCAAATTCTGTTTTAATTTAAAGAATTGTAACTTTCAAAGCTTCTTTTTTCACTAGCATGGTCTAAATGAATTGACTTCAATAGTTACATATCGTAGTCAAATTTGACAACCACTATTATTCAACTTTATACTGTCATGTAAGCATCGGTTAACAATAAAACATGTAACAAACAAGTCACATAGTTGACATAATCATGCTAAAGTGCTTCATATTAAAAAATATAATACATAATTCGATGACAAAAAATAATAATAATAATAATAGAAAATACATTGAAGTCCCCCCCCCCCCCCCCAAAAAAATTTTAGGCCCCCCCCCCCCCCGGGCGCCCTTCAAAGAAATGGGTAACTAATTATTATGGAGGCGCTTTCTTTAATTTTAGAAATTATAAAAATTCTCTTTGAAATTTATTATGGATACATATTTTTCCTATTACTGTTTTTCAATTTTTTTTTAAAAATGACTTTTTAGGTGGGTTCCATAGAAGACTGACTTCTAAGGTAACTATGGAAATTCATAGAATGCAAAAATATATAGAATGAATTCTTTGCTTAAACAATATAATGTCAAGAGAAATCGATTATTTAAAAGAAGAATCTACTGGTGTCTTTGGAATTTCGAAAACAAATAATTTTTCATGTAATAGTCAATTTTATATATATATAGGGTGATCAATGGTGATATCAAATGTCACGGTCGATTTTTAGATCATCCTGAAAAAAAGATGAGATCAAATGGATAATCACATTGTCATTATTTTTAAGAATGAATCAAATCTGAGACAACTGAAAATTTCAAGTATTAACTTTAAAGTAAGTTACTCAAAAGTAACTTTACTTTTTGTTTATGCTTAACGAAACATGAACAAAAGCCTGCTAGATTTGATCTAAAGTCTAAACAATAAACATTAAATTTCGATATATTTTTAATGTCCAATACTGTACACATAATTTACGTGAGACAGTAGAAGCAAAACAACTCCTTCATTCGTATCTAGTAGGGCCGGTCCTGTGATCGTGGGGGCCCGAGACGAACTCCATAAATTGGGCCCCCAAAATCGACGTAAATCAAATTCCAACGGTGTACTATACAACCAATTACTAACTTAAAATTTAGCGTAAAAGATATTTACAAAACATTTCAATTATGTGAGGATTCTTTTATGTTAATTAGTGGGTTTTACCAAAAAAAAAAAAAAATGGAAAAAAAAAATTTTTGGGCCCCCCTTGGAGAGCTGAGCTTGAGGTAGCGGCCTGTTGAGCCTATGCTCAGGTCCGGCTCTGGTATCTAGAATGAGAATGACTAATAAGAAATGTGGAAGTGGACGAGAAAAAACAATGAGTGTTCAAAGGTAGTATGCTCTCGTAATTGGTTGAGGAAATGAGGGTTCAAAAGTTAACACAAAATCAACTTGACATAATCATTTCACACCAAATCCGAAGACTACTATAAAATGGTCAAATTTCAAGTACTTATAGTTAAATCAAAAGCTTTAGATTACTTTCACCTATGGCCTAAATTAATCGACATTTGAATTTAATTTCTAATTTTTTTAGACGAACCAATCATTTGAGTATCGTTCTTATCACAATAATTATTATGAACTTAGAGGTAAATATGAAGAAGGTATTGAGATAAGCACGTTGAACCCATTTCGTTATTGTTTTCATTTTTTTTTCACTTAAGACAATTGATAAATCATTATTGTTTTCAAAATCTTTTTCATGTTCTATACTATGTATGTAATTTACACGAGACCATAGAAGCGAACAACTTCTCCATTCATGTTTAGAATGACAATGACTAATAAGAATTGTCGAAGTGGACAAGAAAAAATCAATGAGTGTTCAAAGTTAGCATGCTCTCTTAATTGGTTGGAGAAATGAGGGTTCAAAAGTTAAAACACAAAATCAACTCGACATAATCATTTCACACTAAATCCAAAGATTACTACAAAATGGTCAAATTACTAATAGTTAAACAAAAGCTTTAGATTACTTTCACCTATAGCCTAAATTAATTGACATTTGAATCCGATTTTTATTTTTTTAGGTCAAACCAGCCATTTCAGTATGCTTCTTATAACATTATTTATCATGAAACTTAGAGGCAAATTAGAAGGTAATGAGAAAATCAAGTGGAACAAATTCCATCGTTGTTTTCAATTTTATTTTTCACATTAGACAGTCGATAAATTAATAAGCTTAAATTTAAAATCACAAGATTGATGGGGGATCTAAAGTTAATTTTTATAAATACATAGGTGGAGGACAGAAATTTTTGAAAATTGAAAATTTGACCATAAAAATTGGTAAATTATTAATAGTGGGTTATACTTATTTTCTAGTTCTTTAAACGATTCACAATGTAAGATGAAGGTAAGGTCAACCTACCCCAGAAAAGCCTTAACCTATTCAATTTTTGATGCTATTTTTTACTGCAAAATCAAAATGTCTTAAAATTCAAATGACCTCTTGGCAACTATAAAAAATGTCTTGCACTAGATTTTTATATATATAAATATAGCAAGGAAACAAATGCAGTATGGAAAGAATCATAAATCTGAACATTGTTGAGAATACCAGAAGAAACCACCAGAACCTGTTACTGACATGGAAGAGTTAGTTAGATTAGTTGATTTTCTGTTAATACCAGACTGTAAACAACTGTATGGAATCTGATTCTTTCATTCTCTATTTAAGGACCAACTGATGTACATTTTACGTGAACTTTATCTTCAATACAATAATTTTTCCATACTCATCTATTTTTCATATTCTCTTAGATTTAGATTCTAGTATCTATTAGTTCAATCTCAAGATGGTATCAGAGCAAAATGATGCTTATGCTTTAGCTCCTGAGCTTTTAGTTTATGATCCTCCTGCTTCAGTTCCTGCATCTGCAACAAAAGCAGAGGACGTTTTCAGTCCCTTTTTTCTGCATCATGGAGATAGTCCTGGCTCTTGATCATTTCTTAGCAGCTAAATGAAGACAACTATGCATCATGGAGTCAATCTGTTGAAATGGCTCTGAGTGCCAAAAACAAGCTGTGTTAACCTGATGAAGGCAATCCGATCTTTCCAGCTTGGAAGAGGTGCAATCATATGGTTATTTCATGGCTTTTGAACTCCATTTCCAAAGAACTTGCTGCTAGTGCCCTGTATATTGATACTGCTGCTGCTATTTGGCCTGATCTTAAGGAGATGTTTTCACAAACTAATGGACCATGTATCTTTCAATTGAGGAAGGCGATCACTTTTCTAACACAAGATCAGTGTTCAGTGAGTGCATATTTCACTAAACTGAAGACACTTTAGGATGAGCTTGGGTGTTATAGACATGTTCCAGCCTCTTTGGTGAAATTTCAACAGGAGGAATATGTCATGCAGTTCCTGATGGGCTTGAATGAGATTTACTCTCAGATTTGAGGTCAAATACTATTGATTAATCCATTACCACCAATTAACAAAGTCTTTTCTCTAGTTGTACAAGAGGAAAAGCAAAAAAGAAATTGCAGCTAGCATCACACATAATCTAGATTCTGTTGCTATGGTTGCTAAAAATTTCAATAGAAATCTTGCACAAGTTGCTAATGAAGGAAGGAACAATTACATTGGACAGAACAATAAGAAAGAGCGTCCTCAATGAAGTCGCTGTGGTCTTCTTGGCCTCATAGTCGACAAATGCTACAAAGTGCACGGATATCCAACAGGATATAAGTTTAAAAACAAGAATCATGTTGTTCATGGAGTTGCAAATCAAGTAGAATATGCTCATGATGTAGCCAATGATCTTGCGCAATTCTCATTCACTAAGAATCAGTATCAACAGCTACTATCCTTAATTCAACCCACTGATGAAGCATCTTTGCCATTCACAGGCACTCGCACTATCAATTCTCAAAATGGAAGCACCTCTGGTTTACAAGAGCATGCCTTAGCAAATCTGGCAGGTATATCATGATTTTTTGCCTCACAATGCATCAGTATTTTGTCAGTGTTTTTCATCTAAATCATATAAAGGTTTTGAAATATTGAGTGTAAATTATGAATGGATTCTAGACATCGGTGCTACAAATCATATGGTATGTACAATTCATTTACTCACAGAAATCACAGTTACAGTTTCACAGTTTGTTAACCTTCCAAATGGTACTTTAGCAAAAGTTACACATGTTGGTTCAGTTAAACTTTCAAACTCGATTGTTCTGGAGAATGTTCTGTGTGTGCCATCTTTTGCATTCAATCTGGTTTGAGTCACTTGCTTGCTTAAACCGGTCAAATGTGCTCTCATTTTATTGTCTGGTGTGTGCTTTATACAAGACCTATGCTCATGGACGACGATTAGTCTTGCTAAAGAGAGAAATGGCCTATTCTATATACTAAATATCACTTCCAAACAACCTAAACATTTTGTTAATTCCGTAACATCCACAATTTCTGATTTGTGGCATCTTAGGTTAGGTCATCCATCTTTGCAACGCCTAAAAATGTTGCAACCTGTCATTTCAAATTTGAATGTAAATACTATAAATCAGTGTGACATTTGCCCTATGGCTAAGTTGCACGGATTACCCTATGTTTCTAGTGAAATAAAGAGTTGTGCTCCATTTGATCTAATACATGCTGATCTATGGGATCCTTTCTCTATTACCGCTATTGATGGTTCAAAGTACTTTCTTATTCTCGTTGATGACTTTACTCGATGTTATGGACTTACTTGTTAAATTCTAAAAGTCAAACCCAATCTGTTATTCCAGCTTTCTTCACTTTAATTGAGACACAATTTAATCTCAAGATAAAGTGCATTCATTCAGATAATGGTTCAGAATTTCACCTTAGAGATTTTTTTTACATCTAAAGGTGTTATACATCAAAAGACTTGTGTTGAATCACCAGAAAACATCAACATCTATTAAATGTTGCTAGAGCCATTCGTTTTCAAGCAAATTTACCTCTTAGTTTCTAGGGTGAATGTATACAAACAACCACTTACATCATCAACAGACTTCCCACTCCCTTACTTCATTGAAAATCCCCCTTTAAAGCTCTTTTTTCCCATAAACAAGATTACTCTCATTTCAGGACTTTTCGTTGCTTATGTTTTGCTTATACGCTCACTAGAAATCGATCAAAGTTTGATTCTCGAGCAATCAAATGTATCTTTCTTGGCTGTCCATATTCTGTCGAGGGCTATAAATTCCTAGATCTTCAAACTCAAGCTATCTTCATATCAAGAAATGTTGTATTTTATGAAGACACCTTTCCATACAAACAACTCCCTTTAAATAATGATGACCCATTTGTCTTACCTAATCCAATTCCAGAACCTTCCTTTCCCATTTTTCCTTCCCATGTATCTCCTATAACTAAAAATGTTTTACCAAACACTTCACCAGATCACCAAAATAACCCTATTCCTCCACCAGAAAATCATATAGCTTCACATGACATAAACCCTCATCTGAGAAGATCTACAAGAATTAAACAAACCCCCTCTTATCTTCAGCGTTATCATTGTCATTTGGCTCAAAATTTTCTTAACAGATTTGATCAGTCCACAAGCATGGTTTTTTCAAGCTTAAGCCCCAGCTGTGATATCCAGAATTATCTTGCTTATGATAAACTTTTATTTTCCCATCGAGCATATGCTCTTAATATCACTAACATGACTGTACCTCAAACTTTTGATCAAGCTATAAAGGATCCCAAGTGGTGTGATGCAATGACTAAGGAAATTAAAGCACTTGAGGATAATAACACGTGGACAATCATCCGTTTACCCCCGGTAAAGTCCCCATTGATTGTAAATGTGTTCAAAATGAAGTTGAAAGCTGATGGGTCTTTGGAAAGGTATAAAGCCAGATTAGTGGCTAAGGGCTATTCTCAAAAAGAAGGTTTTGATTATCTTGAAACCTTTTCTCTAGTGGCAACGCTTACTTCTGTGAGAGTCCTTTTGGCTGTAGCTGCTACTAAGGATTGGAAAAGATCTAGGAACGTTGAAATATTTCCTAGGACTAGAGGTGGCTCGGTCTAAGAAAGGAATTTTTTTGTGTCAAAGAAAATTTGCTCTAGATATTTTAGAAGACGCTAGTTTTAGTGGTGCCAAACTGGCAAACACACCAATGAAGCAAAATGTTAAACTGGATAGAGAAAGTGGAGAACTGTTGAATGATACATCACTTTACAGGAGGTTAGTAGGACGATTGCTGTACTTAACCATTACACGGCCGGATTTGAGTTATGTGATTCAAGTGTTAAGTCAGTTTATGAACCAACCAAGGGAACCTCATTTGGATGTAGCTTATAGGGCACTAAGATACATCAAGAGCACGCTAGGACAAGGGATTTTCTTCCCTAAAGATGATGACTTAATGCTGAAGATATTTTTAGATTTAGATTGGGCCAGATGCCCTGATTTAAGAAGATCTCTAACTGGATATTTTACTTTTCTGGGGAATGCTCTAATACCCTGGAAATCTAAGCAAAATACAGTTTTTAGATCTTCGGTAGAAGCTGAATACCGTGCAATGGCATCTGCATCGTGCGAAATACAATGGCTTTTATACCAGCTGGCTGACTTGGTGATTAAACATGAGAAGTCTACATTGTTATACTGTGATAATCAAGCTGCATTACACATTGTTGTCAACCCCATATTTCATGAAAAAACAAAACATATCGAACTAGATTGTCACATAGTGAAGGACAAGATTAAGGCTGGAATTTTGCACACTATGCACGTCTCTTCAAAAAATTAACTAGCAGACATTATGACAAAACTAGTGGTAGCATCTCTGTTTCATTCTTTATTGTGCAAGATGAATGTGTGCAATATATACACTCCATCTTGAAGGGGACTGTTGAGAATACTAGAAGAAACCACTAGAACATGTTGCTGACGTGGAAGAGTTAGTTAGATTAGTTGATTTTCTGTTAATACCCACCTGTAAACAATTGTATAGAATCTGATTCTTTCATTCTCTATTTAAGGACCAACTGATGTATATTTCACTTGAACTTTATCTTCAGCACAAGAATTTTTTCATACTCGTCTATGTTTCATATTCTCTCAAATTTAGATTCTAGTATCTGTTAGTTCAATCTCAAGAAACATCAATATAATAAGAATGAGACTGAATTTATTATTGTAAAAGAAATTCTAAATCCAATAATAAATTCTAGATCTCGCATCCTTTTCCTTTCATTTAATAAACTATCATTAATGGACAGAATAAACCTTCTCTAGTTAAGCTTATTACACACTTAACTATTCTAAGTATGGTTCTTCTAACATTATTTTTCATGAAACTTAGAGTATGTTTGGTAGAGATTTTAATACAATTAATATCAATTTTTTTATCGTTATTTCACAATTACAACCGTCATTTTTGAACTCTCTTCTCATAAGTATGACCCATTTTATCTCTAACAGTAAAAAAATCAATTAACAAAATCCCTACCAAATAAACACTTAGAGGGAAATTAGAGGTAATGAGATAATCACATGGAACACATTCCGTCACTGTTTCCAATTTTATTTTTCACATTAGACAATCGATAAATTAATAAGCTTAAATTTAAAATCACAAGATTGACAGGGGATCTACAATCAATTTTTATAAATACATGGATGGAGGACAGAAATTTTTGAAAATTACAGATTTGACCAGAAAAATTGGTAAATTATTAATAGTGGGTTATACTTATTTTCTAGTTCTTTAAACGATTCACAATGTAAGATGAAGGTAAGGTCAACCTTCCCCAGAAAAGCCTATAACCTATTCAATTTTTTATGCTATTTTTTACTGCAAAATCAAAATGTCTTAAAATTCAAATGACCTCTTGGCAACTATAAAAAATTTCTTGCACTAGATTTTTATATAAATAAATATAGCAAGGAAACAAATGCAGAATGGAAATAATCATAAATCTGAACATCAATATAATAAGAATGAGACTGGATTTATTATTGTAAAAGAAATTTTTAATCCATTAACAAATTCCAGATCTCGCATCCTTTTCCTTTGGATTAATAAACTATCATTAATGGACAGAATAAACCTTCTCTAGTTAAGCTTATTACACCCTTAGCTATTCTAAGTAAAAAATTGGAAGATTCAAAATCATCTACAAAGACTATGTTCCCCTTTTAAAATTTTATTAGTGAAAAAGTGTAGTGATCGACTGTCTAGAGTCATCCCACAGTGTAGCCAATTTAATAATCAATGGTAAATGAAATGTTGCAAAAGATACACCTCCGCCTACCTTGCATCATATGTCAGATAACATATTGAAATTTACACTAAAAGTACGAAGAAAAAGTGCAATACAGTACTCGACTGCACTACATAGTAAAATATGTTTTAATTTCTTTTTATTCCTTAAAAGCGATCGTCCAATGGGTTGACGGCAGGGCATATGGTACCCTTGGTTGCATTTGCCACACGATAGGAGCTCCTCGGCTCTGTAAACTATGTTTTAGGATTTTTATGTGCGACACTTGCAGTGTGCTCGAATAAAAAGACAGAAAATCAATATACAAGTGTATAATGAGATGATTATTTATGTCATTTTACTATGGTGATTTTAGTAAATAGAAGAATATATATATATATATATATATATATATACCTTGACCTCAAGAAGGATAAGGATATTGTCACATCATTAAACCATTCAAGCAAATGTGGTATCTAGAGTACATCACTTACCCATCCAATGGAATAGGGGGAAAGCAACAAGTCATCAAACACCATTTATTTTTGTTAGAGAAAGGAGGAGCATCCCGATGCTCGTACATTCAAGAATGTGCGAGCAAGGGCTGCCTGAAGGAACGAGCCTGACTCCATTCCTTCCTTTGGTCGGAATGGTCGGCTCGGGGAGCTACACTGAACGCTTTCCCCCCTAAGTCCCCCTTGGGGGGATGATGGAGCGGTACTACCCCTTACTCAATTCCTAAGGAATTGTGGGGCAGGTTAGAGTGGTACGAGCACACGTCACGTAAAGTATCGAACATTTGACATTTGGTTCAAATATGAACCTGAATTAAATGACTAAACTTGTACTTTCTCAACTAAATAGGTAAAATTGGAATACAATTTTTCTGAACTTTTATCCGCAAATTTTATTTGAGAATAAGACATAAGCTTTGGTTGTTTCTCAATATATGAGGAAATAAAAATTTAACACGGTGTTTTCATTTGCCAATTCATTAGTTCAAATGTAGTTTTGTGTTCAAATTTAGTTCTGATTATGTAATCGGCCAAAATTACATTTTAACCGTAAAGTTTGTCATATCAAATTCTTCTCTCTCTCTCTCTCTCTCTCTCTCTCTCTCTCTCTCTCTCTCTCTCTCTCTATATATATATATATATTAATTATTTCACTTATTTTATCTTAGAAAAAACAAAATTACCATTTCCCCTATTTAGAATTAATCAAAATGTATTCATATTGTTGACTTTTGGTCAACTAATGATCCTCTAGACAAAAATCATGCTATAATTCTTCTGCCATCAGGGATTGAAAGATTTGGGACAAAGCTATTACAAATAAAAGGTAACGATACAAGCTGCAACAATTGAAATGCTAGAGACCGCGACTACAATTATCTTTGTATGATGTAGGACATATTTGGGGGAAGAGGCAAGAAAGGAAAAGAAGCAAGAAGGGGAGGAGAAGAAGAAACAGAGCAGCAACACCAGGAAGGTAGAACTCAGGGAAGAGGGTGCAAGAAGAAAACTTATGCATCAAGCATATCACTCATTTCATTCCATTATCGTCCCTTCAAGTTACAGTACACATCCATATATGTAGACAAACACGAGCAAACCTAAAGCATGAAAGGGCCTTGGGCAAGCCCATAAATACAACCCAGTTAAAATAATAAAACATAAAATAAATAACGCGCAAGCAGAGGCGCAAAATAGGTGATGTCCTCATCAACTCTCCCATGGTGGGAGGAGAAACTTGACTCTGCCGAGTGAATAAATCATAAGAATCATGGCGGACGATCTTTTTGAAGAACCAAATATCGAAACTCAAGTTTGATCTAGATTTGTTGGAACTTCTCTCTGACAATCTATATAGGGTCAGATTCAAGCCGATCCACCCACCGAACAAGAAAACATTGAATTTCTCTATCATTGGTCAATACAATCTGTTCATCTAAAATAACATCAATTTTATCATTGTGTGTTGTAATTGTGTAACATGTGGTATTTGAATAAACATAGCAGAAGATTCGGTGTGGAAGCTCCAAGGTGGAGATAGAAAATGATCATCAAAAGGGTTCAACTAGCCTTTGTAACAACTAAGTCCTTAACAATTAAAATAGAGTGGTGGTCATAATGTGATGAAAGATTATTGACATATGCATTTGGACCAATATATTTTAAAATTTTAAAAGGATTAGCATTACTAGCTTGCAATATAACATAATCCTCAATATTAAATTCAAAATTTGCTTATGCAACTCAGTTTGAAGTATATATAATGCATTAGTTGCTTTAAATTATTTATTGATCTCAATATGCAAGTTATGAAGATGTGACACAACTACCTTAACTGATAGACACATTAGCACATGGGGACATGAGAATAAGGTTTAAAGTTTTCCTAGGTTCATAACCATGAATAACTTCAACGGGACTCGTACCTATGGTGATAATTCACAAATTTGTTATATGTAATCTGCACTGTTTGGATGATCAAATCCCAATTTTCAAGATTTTCCTTGAAAATGGCATGATTATACAAATCATTAGTACCTTTGGGTCTGATAAGATTATGACCCACAACATTTGACTGAGAGATATCGGACACAAGGGGTACAATACCTAGATTCATAAGAAAAATCCGAATACTATCTATGGAGGCGTTCTCACTATCATCCAAGTCATCAAATTCTTTAGGTTCATAGATTTGATATTCTACTCGCTCTTCTATTATATTCTTTCGTTCTTGAATGACTAAGACTCGGCTAGGACATTCAGAAGAGATGTGACAAAAGTCTTTACGGTTGAAGCATTGCAAGTGAGAAGATGCCCTTGGAATTTCAAAAAATTTATCCTTATTTTCCAACACAGGAGGAATATCGGATGGGAAAAGTCCTTTTATAGACTTAAGAAAAGGCAACGATGACGAGATTGGTTGACGATAGTGATCGCATTTTCACATGGAGCACTAATAAATAACTCATAATCTCAGGCTAAAGAGTAAGCATAATCTAGAGTAGCGATGCCTTGATGGAAAAGCTCACGTCTAAATTCATCTCTTAGACCTTGTATAAACCTACTTAAAGTCAGGACCTCATCCTCAATAACATGTCAGTTCATTCGAAATCCCTCAAATTGAGCAATATACTCAGTCACTAACTGATTTCCTTGTTTAAAAGTAGTCAATTGAGTAAAAACTTCAAAATCTAAGCAACCATCAAAAGTATGAGTGTCTAATTTAATATCTCTAAAGAAACTCTACTTATAACGAGGAAGAGAATGAGTACAGTGATGGTCATAGGCTCGTTCTCTCCCACGAACTTGATCCCTATCACTACCATCATATTGAAAATATTTTCGATCTCCTCGTGGATGACGATGTTTATTATGGGATACTTTAGAATTATCAACGTTGATCGGATGAGTGATTTGCTTAAAATTGTTCAAATTAACAGAGAGGGCCTTACTCTTTTAAGAGTAGCAGTTATTTGGATTTGGATATCCGCTATTTATCGAGAGTGTATCAAATTGTGAAAGGTCCATGTTTATGTACTGAAACGAGTAGTGACAAGACGACCAGTAGACCACTATGCATGTATTGTATTAGTAGCTAAATGACGTGCAATAGAGAGATCAATGAATAAAAAGTGAAAGCAATGAAAAATGACAACTTGAGCCCTTATTCTCTTAATTTTAAAATTTGGGATTAAATAAATCCAAATACAGCAAGCTAGTACTTCTGGTATAATTAAATTAGTAAAACAAGGGTTAAATACTAGTCAAAACTTAATGATGTAAAATAAGTGAGGTAAAAGTGAAATTTAACAAAGTTAATGAGTCCAATTACGTGAGTTTAGGTAAAAATTGGAATAACAGCAGAACACAAAAGATATTGATGCAATTTTAAAATAAAGCAGTAACATAAACCAAAGATAAATAAAAAACAATAACTTCTCTTCTGTTCTCTGAAGTAACTGAGCAGATCAACAGGAGAAAAAGAGATACCTGCGAAAATATTGTTAGAAAATACTTTTTTTTGACTTCTCTATTTTTTTTCCTTTTTTTTTTCGCTTTTCACTCTTTTTTTTTTTTTTAATACTAATCTATTACACTACTCACCAACCAAATAAAATACAAAATGAGGCCCTAACTCAAACAAAAGGCAGCGACCCAATTGAAAATAGACCACTTCTCTCTTTCGATTAGGGATCGTGGTAGTGGTGATGGGTGTGTCGTTGGATTTCGTGACTGGATGGATCGCCGCCATGGAGGGCTAGTGTCACCTGTATTGCGAATGAATGGATTGTCGTAAGGGACGCCGACAGAGAGGAGACGGTTGATTTTGAGAAAGATAGGTTACACGATAGCAATTTTTTTTGGAATTTGATGAAGATACCACTTGGAGTTATTAGACAGTTGTGTTTGAGTAGTGCATTGGGTCGATCATCAGACAGTCGTGTTCAGTTTGATTGTTGACCCAAGTTTAGCCTCGATACCACTTTAATGTAGAATAGATTTGGGGGGGATAGGAAAGAAGGGGAAAAGAAGCAAGAAAGGGAGGAGAAGAAGAAACAGAGCAACAACACCAGGAAGGAAGAAGAACTCAGGGGAGAGGGAGAAAGAATAAAACTTGTGCATCAAGCATATCACTCATTTCATTCCATCATCGTCCCTACAAATTACAGTACACATCCATATATATATGTAGACAAACGTGAGCAAACCTAAAGCATAAAACGGCCATGGGCCAGCCCATAAATACAACCCAATTAAACTAATATAAAATAAATAACACCCAAGTAAAGGCCCAAAATAGGTGATGTCCTCGTCACCTTAACTTAATCAATAGATAGTACAACACTCTCATCCTCTAAGGGCGAGGAGCACAAGTTTGACGCCACAATCCACCATGTTGAAATTTTATCTCCCGTGTAGTGTCGCATGAGAAGCCAAAGCATCAGCTCTCTTGATACCTTCTTGGAAGATATGTGAAACTCTAAAGTTCACGGTTGTATCAGATGAAGACATTGATTCCAAACAGCCCGGTACCTCCAAGGAACTTCAACCAAATGGTTTTCTAACAGCTGCACTACTTATGTTGAAGTCATAAATTTCCCTAGCATTTATTCATAGGAAAATTAGACGATAAGGTCATGTTTGGTACACAATATTGAATAAGACTGAACAATATTTTAACTTACCAAATGCATATATGGATCTACTAAATTACTGTCTTGTAACTAATTTCAGGTCAGAAAGAGACCTGCTCACTTGTAGACATACAATATGCATATAGACACTACTAAATATAAAAAATCTAATGTAAACTCTCATAACATTAATATATATACTTACTATAGTTTCGTAACATAAACATTAAACGAGTTTAAATTTATACCAATAAACTAAGTTTAATTAATAAGTTATCTCCATTATCTGAATAGTGGACATTGAGCTCTACAGGTTCCAAGACACAGACTTTGGAAACAAAAAAAAAAATTGTTGCAATTATAATCCAAGTATACGAACACGAGAAGAATCACATGGTGAAAGGAAGCATATGCAGTACTAGCACCAAAAAATTTACCGAACTTCTCCATCATCACCAAGTTCTGTCTCTTTATGCTCCTCAGGATTACTACTCCTATAAGAAAGCTTCCGATCCCTCCTGTGTCTCTTGTGTTGGCTCCCAGAATCTATGTCGGAAGTCAGCGAATTCTTCTCAACCTATCACATAAAATAAAATACACGTCTATTTAGAAAATTAGAATGAAAATACATAATTCACAAGGGTGAGAAACAACAAAACCTCCAGCTGATGATTACAATTCATAAAAATTAATCAAACCAGAAGACTCTTGTGAATATACAAAATCAATAGCACGGTACCTGCTTTGGTTTTTTTTTTTTTTTTTTTTTTTTTTTTTGTCTATGAGAGTTAAACCAGTCTTTCTCATCATTATCAAAAGAATCCCTAGGCCGCTTGTGATGTTTCTTATCCTTGCCTCTTCCTAACCATCTGTTCTCTTCAAAAGAGTGAGATTCACTTTCATCGCTCTCTTTTTCATTTTACATAAATCTCTCTCCCCTTTCTGTTTTCACCTCCTCTCTCTATTCTTCTTCTCCCTTTTCTACGGCTTCTCCTTCTCCTTTTCCTTTCTCTCTTTTTCCTTTTTGGCCTACAAAAAATAAGATTTTGTCCAGGCATTGAGTCTAGGCATTGAATGATCATTTCATTATTAAAATCCAAATATTGACATTATTTTTCCATTTGGAAACTCTTGGATTGCGCTTAGTGCACTGGATTGGACTAGGCTGTACAGGGAATTAAGGCATAACATTATTTAGAGGCATAGTACTCGATACTCGATAGTTTTAAGGGGTGGATTAAGTTGGGATAATATTTCCAAGTTTTATCACTTTAAAAGAACGCTATCTACATTATCATTTTTTTCCAGCCTAAACGCATCTCTTCCTCCCATATTTTGTTATTCGGTCAGCTTAAGAAAGATAGTAAAAATAACATTCTTTTGATTAAAAAACTAAAGAATATATCCACCTAATACATAGTATTATCCACTCTAATCCACTGTGCGAAACACAACCTAACTGTATAATTGAAGACAAATAGATAACATATTCTTCCAACACCAAAATGATAATGTTGAAAATTTCCTACAAGTGATTTCGTGGGGGGTTTTGAATGCCTTTTCCTCCTTCCGCTTCCCCTCCTCTTTTGACTTCTCATTTAGTTCTGTTATCACTTCATCAAAGATCTCCTGGAAAAAGCTTTCCTCCCCAGTGAACCTATCAACAGCATACAGATCAGATTGGCTGGCTGAAGCTTTAGGGAGGAAAATGGGAAGCTCGAAACAATAGAAGCAAATAAAGCAGATACACATTATTTTTAACTTACAATGCAACCTACATCTATGAAAATTTGAAGCAAATGTACAAAGATTGTACACACACGTCTCATCATTAATAATCACATTACAGGGAAAGAAAAGGAAAGACTGAAACAAATACAGAGAATTGTAACAATATTTTTGCTACAGATAACTATTGTAGAAATCCTTAAAATAATGGTTGAAATGTCAACAAGTGATTTGAAATTCTCCCACCTTGAAGATGCAGTAATTTCTTGCTTAATATCAAAAAACATATATATTAAAGGTAAAATAATTTAATTCATGAAAGGTATCATTTGTATTGATGATCGCAAACAGCTTAATATACCTTTGAAGAATACAAAAAATCATATAAATCGTCTGCAAGTTGTTTACGCTTTTTAGCTTCTTTTTCCTCTTTCTTCTTGGCTCCTTCTAGCAACCCATCAAATATAAGCTGTTCCAAGGCAATGCATGCATTAGATTTACAAAGACGCAAACAATGAAGGTCAAAAATGAAGAAGTAGGAATATATACAAGGCAAGCCGAAAATTGACCAGGTTCAGATTATGAGTAATTCAAGGACTAGTTTATATATAAATTTAATTTAAGACAGTATCAAATTAAATCATTCAACAACTGCATCAAATTGCCAAATGGAAAGTAGCTCATATGCCAAGAGGTACAAAATTCACTAAAGACGGCTATCCAAGCATTACAGGAACGCCAAGCAGGAAGAACTGGAAAGGAACCCTACTGGGCTTCCTTGCTCAACAGTAAAGATTGATGGGATTTTAACATTTATATCTGGTGTAGAGGTTCTTACCATCGTTTTACCGTCTACATCGCTCAGTATGAAGAGTAATGTAGAGGTTCTTCTCATCGTCTTACCTTCTATAGACGTCTTAGCGTTTTAAATGCATGCTTTCATGTTCACAATCTTTCATAGAGATATAGGATGTTCACGTGAGATGATAGATTTAATTACATCGAGAGATGCCTTTAATTAATTTAGAAACATTGATCGACAAGAATGTACACATATTATCATGTTATTTAATTGCATTGAAAAGGATCAATAAGGGAGATTCGTGGTCCTAGTAACATCCAATCTAAATTTACAAAAGCCTTATAAATTGCTCACTAGAATATTTAGTTTAATTAGATTCATTATTATAAATTCTTCAAACAATTTTGGCCATTCGATTAAAGTTAGGATTAATTGACCCTAGACTATGTACGTGGTCCTCCTGGGAACGATATCCTACTTATCATTTTATTACTTATTCACAATACCGTTCACTTGCGAAAAATCAAACGATCAATGCGCAAATGTAGAACGTAAATCAAAGAAAAAACTTACTTGAAGGTCTAATAGAAATGGTGTAAGATCTCCCAATCTACGAGTACGGTTTTGAAAAAATGCACAGAGCACATAAAACTCAAAAAATGCATAAACATACAATAAGTCGAATCAACGCATTTCCAGTTTCCTAAAGCAGATTGAAGCAAAATATTAATAGTTTAACCACATATTCAATTCAAGTTGAAGGTAACTAATTGAACAAACAACTATCACTCCCATTTATCTCCTTGATAGAAATTTACTGTTAATACAACACATAAAATGTGAGAAGAGAGGCTGATGTTAGAGCCATAGCCAATCAATTACTTGATTGTTGGTACAGTGGCTCAGATATTGATTTATACTATAGAGCACAAGCACACATATAAGATACAGAGTCGCATGACCACTTGAATAGCTGTTACAGAAAGTATAAATTCACAATTTGTTGCAGAAAATTCCGGAAATATCGGAAATTGTTCTACACAACTCATAGGTTAAAAATTGAATCTGTTACCTCGTGCAATTACATTTATGGACATGGATTATAGATGGAACGGTCATCGATTTCCACTTGAGGAATGTCGGCGATGATGGGCCAGTAGTCTCCTTTGTTCTTCAAACATCGTTTCTTAAGAAGTGGGCAGTCTTTAATCATAAGAACCGAGAGCTTTTTAAGCTGGTCATCCATAGGTAACGCCTCAAGCTTAGGGCATTTTGCGATGAATAAAAATCGAAGAGAGGTGAGCTTTTGGAAGCCCTTTGATAGGGTTTCCAGATTCGGCAGATCATTCAACATCAACTCAAATAGAGATGGAGGAAGCACACAGTGTTCTTCGTCACGATTGTTAGCGAAGGAAATCAGCTCTGGACATCCACCAAAACCAAAGGAATTAAGAGAGGTGAGTTTGTGTAGGCCCCACTCCCCCAGGGGCTTTAGTTTCCCGCACCTTGTGACCCCCAGCTCAGACAGAATTGGGGGAATATTCTCTTGGGGAAAGAGTTCCATTAATGAAGCACAATTATACGCACCCAACTCGGAAAGGGATGAAAGTAGATCCATCCGATCGGGTAAGGACTTGAGATGTTGACAGTTAGCTATCCGAATAACTTTTAAATTTGGTGTGGGCAAGCCTCCATGGGGAAACGACTCCAGACCATCACAAAACCATAAGTCTAGTTCAGTGAGACTTTGGTAACTGTGGCCAGAGCCTAGCAAATTTGTCAAATTCAAATTCAGCCAATGACCAATCCCCAGGATAATGAGCGAGGTGCAGCAATCCTGTAGCATCATCATCATCTTTAATGATGGACACATTCTGATTTCCAACCGCTCAAGACAAGTCATTTTATCAGGCAACAATTCCAGAGCGTCACAGTCTTCTATCTCAAGCCTCCTAAGACCCGGAAGAACATCAATCTCTTGAAGGGACAATAGCTGAGAACAACTTCTAACACACACTTTCCATAGATTAACTAGGTTTCGTATGCTATTATCACTTGGCCATAGAGTCACAAGGTCGTCACATCCGTCAACTACAAAATCTTCAAGTGTAAAAGGAAACTGTACAAATGCTTTGATAACAGAAGTTAATCCGAAAATTTTTTTCAATTCGATTTTGGCTAACGATTCCAAATTCTTCATATGATTTAGCACCACCTCATTACACTCTGTAGCTCTTAATTCACGAAGGGATGGCAGTAAGAGATCTGGAACCCTGACCAACTTTGAACAACCTTTTATCTTCAATTCGCATAGCAAAGGAAGTTTGATAACACCTTCTATTCCATGCCATTCCTCCCAGTTAGACATATCCTCAAAAGTCAGACTAATGAGTGATGGGAAAGGTAATTCTCCATGGCCTCTATTTCCATAAAATTCAGCTCCAATCACTTGTACTTTATCAATGCCACGAATGCTCAAGTCTCTTAGCAAAGGTAGTTGCCCTAATGGTGGCAAAGCTGTGCAATTTTTGCAAAAACTGAAACTTATCTTTGCTAACTTAAAGAATGCTGAATCTCCAATCCAATTAGAGAAACTTTCACCCCCGAAATACTTAATCTCAAGTGTTGATAAATTTTCATGGGGCTTTAATGCATTAAGCAACTCCAATTCAAAAAATTTATTCCGGGAATCATCATAGTCTTCGCTCCATGCCAACCTTATTTCGTTAAGGCTAGGTTTATCTGATAGGTTCGCATCCATTGCATCTTGAACATTCGCAACATTTTGCAATTCCTCAATAGAAATATCACCCCGTAGAAATGATAAATTGCCCAAGTCCTTTAACCTCATTCCGTTAGTTTTACTTGCAGTCATCTTAGTTAATGTTCGCAAACTTGCTAGTTGAGCAATTCCCTGAGGCATTTCATGTAATTCAGGAGTAGAAGCAATGTCCAGATGCCGAAGATTAATAAGATTTTCCATGCTTATAGGTAATTTGGTAAGATTACAACAACCTCTTAGAATCAACACTTGTAAGTTGATGAGGGTGCTCATAGATTCAGGCAACCACTTCAGTAACGTTTGAGCCAGGCCTAGGTATCGTAAATGTCTTAAATCACCAATAGAATCTGGTAAATCATATATCGAATAACCATTCAACGATAGCACTCTTAAGCAGGACAATTTTGGTAATAGGTGATGCAAAATTTTATGGGATAAGAAACCTTCACTATCTGGGCTATAATACGTCTCAACAGATAGTGGCAAAAATGTTCTCAATTTTTGTACTTTGTCAAGAATATTAAATCTATGGTAAGTTTCGTACTCACGCCGCATGAATGACAAGTGACGGACCTTTTCAGAAATCGTTCTAGGAAGATTTTCCTTCAACTTATCATCCATCCTCAAACATTTATCCCCAGCAACAGACATAGCTAGATCATTAAAGAGGTCGTGCATCACAAAACGTGAAGCATTGGCACTTGATTTCTGGAAGAAAGATCTAGCCAACAGTTCATTAAAATAATGACTACCTACTTCTTCAATTAACATATCTTTCTTCGATTCTTGCACAAGACCTTCCGCCATCCACAAGTGCACTAGATGGAACTTTTCGAACTCATAATCCTTGGGAAAGAGAGCACAGTAAGCAAAGCATCTTTTCAATTGCGGAGGAAGATAAAAATAACTCAGTTTTAGAACAGGAAGAATTTCACTCTTTTCTTCAGCCATCCAAATCTCACTTTTCAACACCTCTTCCCATTCTTCAGGGCCAACTGCCATGCGAAGAAGCCCCCCAAGTGCCTTTACTGCCAGGGGCAAGTATTTACATCTTCTTACCATAGACTTACCAATCTCTATTAAACCTGGACATGCGTCAAAAGTTTTAGATCCAAATGCATGTTGAGCTAACAATGACAAAGCATCGGCCTCTGATAACAGATTCAGATGGTATGCTGGAATTTTGGACATGACTTTAGCCACTCCTTCTTGTCGAGTTGTAATGATGATTTTGCTTCCAGGTTTTCCAGCAAGAAAAGGACGGCGTAGGATGTCCCAATCTCCATAATTTTCATTCCAAATATCATCTAAAACTACTAGAAACTTCTTGTCTGAAAGGTTTTCCTTTAGTTTGACCTGAAGCTTGTCAAAATTTTCAGAATCGCACCTTCCACCAGAAGAAACTTCCTCAAGAATGGCTTTTGTTACACTTACAGCATTAAAATCATCTGATACGCAAGCCCATGCCTTCAGATCAAACTTGTCCTTCAATCTTTCATCATTGTACACAAGTTGGACAAGAGTTGTTTTGCCGACACCTCCCATGCCCACAATTGGAATCACAGATATTGAATTATCATTTGATTCATCATCAAATAAGATTTCGATTATTTTCTCTTTGTCCTCCTCTCTTCCATAAACTTCCGCTTCTACCACAAGCGAAGTTGTTGGCAATCTTTCATAAGGCCTCCCCCTCACAGTCTCCACCAAATTGAGCATTTTTATCTGTTCGGATAGAGCTTCCAACCGGCTACTGATCTCTTTTAGCTTGGAAGTAATCCCGCGCTCAAACATGAAATCACTGTGAGAAAGATTAGTACAACAAGTGGGGATAAGCTTTTTTACCTTACTGTTGCTGCCTTTGTTTTTTCTTATTTTGCGCAGCGATGCTTCAGTATTCAACTCATCCACCAAGTCTTCAAGATCATAAGCCAAATCTTCCAGATCGTTCAGCCACAGCTTCACAGCTCTGTTTGCTGTTTGCTTGTTTTCAGCATCAGTAAGCACGG